TAAAACGCAGTGAATTAAACTTATCCCTTTTAGTTTATTAATTTGATGTACGAGGAAGGACCGTCTTTACTCTCCTGATTGCTCCAGGAGACTGAAGACTATTCACAAAGACGAAACCAAAAACGTCACCTAAAGACAAAGAGCACTCTGTTCTATATACATATGAAATCATTGTTTATCTAATGGTACTCTGGCGAGACTCTCGGCGTCGATTCGTTTTTGTAACTTATATGCTAGAAGGAAAAACTTCTGAGTATTCAAAAGAGAGAAAATAATCCAATAGAGACCATACTAGGCCTTATTAATTAAACGTAATTGAACAGGATCGATGGATGCCCTTCCTAAAGATCCATTAGAGAAGTCCATGAATTTTAATTATATTCCGTTAGGTCAGTTTTATGTATTCTCTGGGGAGGAACAGTTTTCAAACTAGAACCATCGAGTTCGCGATTAGTATCATGTGATTGCTACGTCTCGGGAGCCCCGACGCTATAATGGGTGAGTTTATTGCCAGAGCTAGGTAGGATCACCTCTAGGGTCATTGAACTTGATGATGTCGACCCTATCGTCGACCTTGTGTCTTGTTTTAGATATCTCAAGAATAAAAGGAACCACGTGATAGGGAAACCATGACGTCAGTTCAACAGTGTCTGTTGACGGTGTTTCGTCACTAGATAGATAGAGAATTTTCATTCGATTGCAACATCCCTGCGAGCATCGATTCACTCGATATTGATAGATATACTATCACGAAAATTCAGAGCAATTTAAGCTACTTTTCATTGATCTTATTAATATTCTCTGATCGTATAAAATAATATCGTATAAAATAATTTCGTATAATATGCTTGACATTGAAATCTGCAAGCAACGAATCGTTCTCGTAAAATTCGAAGAATGGCAATAAACGTGATTCTTCATGCGATCACGATTATATATGTATATATCACGAAGGATATATAACCATGTTTGATATCTTGAAATCGCGTCTCTTTGCAAACGGAAAATATGTACAGCGAAATCATACTGTCAGCCCCGAGGGGATACACGCGCAAGCTTCGAGAATAGAAAATGGAAGATTATTCCGCGGGGAGCAGATAAAACATGGAAGCGAAACGGAAATTGCAGGAAACAACAACGCTGATACGAATAATGCGTGCTTTTTGATCTCCGAATTCTGGCACTCCTGAAACAAAACCGGGAACTGTCAAGTCCGACAAATTTGTTTCCAAACCGTCACTGCGAATTTAAAAAACATTAAAATAAACCGAATAATCCTGAATGTACGAAATAGTTGACAGAAATCAATCTTTACATTGAATTTTGAAATAATTGTAAATAGATGATCGGTAAAAAAATTAACACTAGATTGCCGGAACGAGTCAATTTGACTCATTTACGATTTTATTGCTTAATTAAACAATACATATATATTATATTAATAATATATTATATTATAATTAATTATAATATATATAATTATTATAATTATTATAATATATTATATTATAATTAATTATAATATATATTATTATAATTATTATAATATAATATATATAATAATATATATATAATTATTCAAGTTTTTCTATATATATAATTTTTTTCAATATAATTTTTATTGATTTTTTAATAGAATTACAAAATGTATACAAATACTAATTCCTTCCCCTCTCCACCCCTTAGTTCCAAAAATCCATATGCGCTATGTCCATTTCGACGGATGCGAGTCAAATTGACGTATTAAATATTTTTAAAGTTAGCAAAAGAAGAGTACGATATATCCCGGATTTCGAAACCGAAAATTAATTAGACGCTGCAGATAGATCTGATAACGAAGAAATTTCAACGCAAAAAGCTGTTGATAGGACATTATGGGGAACGTTAAAAAATGGTATAAATACTGGTAGATTTCTCGAAAATACCAAATCCAAAGACGTCTCAGGGTCAATTTCCTGTGCCAAAAGAAATAGAAGGGCGTCTGTGCTAAATGTAATAAAAAGAACTGCGAAGAATGTATTTTCAAACCAGAATGTATATGTCAAAATTGTTCCGAATGAAGTTCCTTTAAAATGAAATTTGATTTTCTTTCGAAACCTTCAACTGTGACATTTGAGTCAAATTTACTCATTCCAGGCAAAATAAGCATATACCATCTAGTGTTAGTATGATTTCCGAGCTTCCAATATTCTTTAACAGGTTTTTATAGTTAAAATGTTCTCACATCCTTCCGCTTTTTATCCGACATCAGATAAATTAAGGATCGTCGCAGCCCTCCGAGAATTCTGTTCGGAAAAAAACAGGCATTTTAGCCGAAGCTTTATCGTGTCTCTTTCTAATGAGTCAGCGAGCTCGTATTAGTGACACTAGAGAAACGGCTCAAGCTACGCATCAAAAACATCTCGAATTCATCTACGTTGTGAATTTACGATGGCACGCCGCGCTTCGTTTTGGACAGAACGCCGTTGAATGCTACGGTGAACGATGGTTACGTTATGGTGCTTCTGCTGAAGTCCTATCAAAGAGAGCATTGTTTTCGACGAAACGAATCCATATTGCACGGATTTGAATAGAGCAATATTTGAAACAGATGGGCCGGTCAGATAACACTTTTCGCACTAGGCTGAAAGATTAAAAGGAAAACCATCGGAACAACATCGATTGCACGTAGCTGATAGCATAGCATGATTCATGCAATCATATTTTTGAACTTCTCTACTTGAGACGGTGGTTAACACGCGTTGACTCGAGTGAAAATTCCAAGATCTATAATCAGAAATGGCTTCGGGAGATGAGGAGTATGTATCTGGTTCATAAACAAAGTTGTATTAGGTTCGGATTTACG